ATATTTTATTGACTTTTATTTGCGGCCACCTTGCTGTTTTTTATTTTGTATTATTATATTTGGTTCTATTTTGTTCTAAGCTCTGCACCATACTACCTATGTTTATAGAGTGTTACTTCAGCTCTCTTTTTTTCTGAGCTGTCAGGCAAGCTGTATACGTTCTGGAGTTTGAACAGATGTAGAGAGGAGAATACGGCAGATAAACAGGTATATCTTATGTAGGAGGATTTTTTTAATCCCTGTTTATTACCTGAGGCCAGTCACTTCACTGGTATATGTAAGGGCTTACAACCACTTAATGTACATTGTAACAACAGTCAGAACTGCAGCTTATCTGTAAATTCTTAAAATAAATTAACATTAATTTTAAAATAGTTTTTAAAAAATTAGCTACTTACCTTTAATCATGTTTTTTACATTCTTAAAGCGTTACTAAACCCAGGACCCTGCATTCACTATATCTGGTCTCCACAGTACACAAGAACATGGAAATGCAATTATTTTAGTAAATATAAACTGCTAAATACCTTTTCTCATCAGCAGTTAGAGCAGACTTGTGACTTCTATCAGTGTCCAGCAGAGCACTGGTTTAAAGCTTGTAGGAGGAGTTTTTTCTTTCTGCTTTAAGAGGATGCAAAACCCCTGACCTCTGTCTGGACAGTGCTGATTGGCCCTGTGCTGATCACATGCACTCTCTCAAGAGAAAAAAAAACTTCTCTAGCAATATACACCAAACTGAGCATGTGCAGAATGGCTACGGGTCCAATCTGTCTTCTCAGGAGATAAGATGTGGACATTTGAGCAACAGGAGGAGCAGAGCAGACAGGATCAAATGGCCTTTTTACACAATGCAGAGGATTAACCCCTTAGGTTCCACAGTGAGTATAACAAGCACACTTTACTGCATATGCAGACTGATTTTACTGTTGTGGGTTTATTAACACTTTAAAATCTTTAATGCTCTCCCTGCTTTATAATGATCAGGAGGGGGCTGTGGAGTAATGTTTAACATAAATAACCCTGTTGATACTTTGTTTTCAGCTCTTTATTATCAGCTGTAAACTGGATTTGTCTGTCCTAAGTAACAAAAGTTCAACATTGATAAGTAGCTCCCTGTCCTGTATGTTAACAAGGGATAGCTTAGGCTAGCCAGACATTATACAATATTGTAAGCTCGAAAGAGCAGGGCCCTCAATCCCCTCATGTTTTGCATTGTATTGTATTGTTCTGTCACATGTTCTGTCCCCCTCTGTAGATGTACAGCGCTGAGGAACTATTGGCGCTTTATAAATACTGTATAATAATAATAATTATTTTGTACAATTTTAATTTAGATTTACCAAAACCATATAATACGAGGTCAAACCTAAAAATTTTCAATTACTATGCAATCAGGCAGGCTCTTGAACCTGAAGGTAAATCTAAAGGAAATTGAATAAGAAAATAGTATAATGTATGACCAGTCTGTGTGGGAACAGAACCACTGTGAAAATTTTTAAGAATCATCCATGCAACCATGTTTTTAAATTTTTTTTAGGTATGCTGTGCGAACGAGAACACATAACAAACATATTAGGGTTTTCTCAAATTTGACTGCAAAAGTGGCAATTTGCTTAAAAAGTAACTCTACCTTTGTTGAAAGCCCTCCCCCCCTTCGAGTTATCAATGTATATTGCAGGGATGATCACAACCTTTACTGCAGATTCCTATCTATCTCTGCTCTGAAGAAACAGCTGTTTGTTTGTTTATGTAGATGTGAAGAGTGAATCTGAATGAGAGCGACTTTTTCATTATTAATCAACTTTTTTTGCAGTATTCTAATGAGCAAAATTATAGTCTCTGAATCCCTTTACAAGTGATTAACCCCCTGAGAGTATCTCATTAAAAATGGATTTTTTGCTGAAGAGAATGATTAAAATTTGATTTCTGGGAAAATCAGTGAGCCAATCACACAAGCAGGAAATGACATTGCTCTTTATTGTTCTGTACACCAATTGTGTATGGAATACCATACTGCATTGAATTTGACTGACAATTACAGTGCTGCAGATAGAAAAAGGTAATTTTTTTTAAACATTCAATTACAAGATGGCTTGTGTAGCATTTGTAAATGCTGTTTTGTTTTATTTTTTCCCCATGAAAGTGAAGTTACCCTTTTTTTTTTTTTGTCCAATTCCCTCTACATAACTTGACTTTCTTTCTCTGATTTTAATGTGTCTTCTTTTCTTTTGTTCCTCCTTATCAAGATCAGTGGTGTTCTTTCTGTAATTTCATTTTTCTTGAAGTAGTATGCGTTTTATCGTTCTATTTATTAAACTAGTAGTAGCTATTCATACTCAGCTGGACTTGTGCTGCAATGTTTAAAGTTTTTCACTGCTTATCAAAACACAGAGCAATAGAAAATTATTAGTCATTTTACTATGAGTAACAACCAATCACATATTATTGATGTGAATGTACAATATATTTTTATATATATATTATATTATATATATATATTTATGTGTGTGTGTGTGTGTGTGTGTGTAAAGCACTGCATAAACTGACTGCACTATATAAGTACCTGTAATATATAATATTTTCCAGACATTTAGAGCCGCTATGTACATGGACACATTGGTTATATTAGATTACAATAGTTTTGTAAAAGATGTAGAAAAAAAAAACCACTGTAAAGATCTGAAAGAAGCATTTATCGCACCCATGTGCATGTGCCCTTAAGGTCAGATGGTTGTTCTCTTTGGTCTATGTAATAAATAAACATGCTTTAGTCAAAATACTACACAGAAATAAACCTAACTGCTCATTCTTCAGCCTATAACATGTGAACTTGAAGACTAATCCTACATATGGAAAAGAAGATGAGCTCAAAACAAGTATTTATCTTGATTATCTAGGTATAATTAGAGACATTTTCCTGCTACCGTTTACTTTTGTGATTTTATTTTTCCACAAAGAGTTAGAGCTAAAAGTGCTTTTATTTTCTCAATATTTTTTTCCAAGTCAAAGATGGATTGTTGAAACATGTTAAAAATACTTACTGGAGGTCCAAGATTAGAATCCTATTTGCATTATTAATAATGGAAAAAGTCTAATTTTCCCTCTACAATATATGACCTAAATTGTTGAAAATGAGTCATTTGAATTCATTAATGCTGCATTGGCGCTACTATGTATTTTAATAGATTTCATTAGCGACTGTAAATTGATCTAAAACTAGTCACTTATTCTTGGACTTGTAAACACCTTTGATGTAGAGTTGAAATATCAGCACAAAAGGGCTTTATTTAATAATATAAATTGTCATCCATAGTATTCTATCACAGCTCAGTGTCACCAGTTTAGGGTAACCACTAAATATTTGCTTCTTGTAGCCCATTGGTGCTGATTTCTGTTAGATGAAGTACAAAACAAAAGAAAAAGTTCCCAATGGTGTCCAATAGAATTTTATTGTTCTTTGGGAGATATCAAACAAGGAATGTTATTGTAGTTATTTTAGATAATGCATCAATGTTTGCTCCATGTCCCTGTGCAATTTTGTTTTTTATTATTCTTACACTTAGCTTGTCATGGGAACAATATAACATATTATAGGTGTTTTTTAAGTTTAAAGTGTATCACAATGAATGACCATTTGCAGAATTTTTAACCGCTTTAGCGCTGCCCCATAGCAGAAATACTGCTACAGGGTGGCAGCTGTGCACAATATCACGTGTGTGTATATACGTGATTTTGCATTTCTGGGCAGGGTCGCAGCTGTCAATCACCAGGTACCGGCCGGTGATTACTCGCTGGCACCCAGTGATTGCCGAACATCTCTGTCGGGGGGGCAGAGCTGTTTGTAAACAAAACAGTTCTCTCCCTTGTCAGCTCCTGCACACTGCTTTGCATGGCTTTGCCTTGTCCTTCCTTTTTAATTATATGGTCCATGTGGAAGAGGTGCAGTGGCCTGATTGGCTGAATACCTGTGGTCCCACAGTCCTGTGGTGTCGGATATAAGTCCTGGAAATCATCCATGCAGGTCTCGGGATTTGCCAAAGAGATCCTGGAAAAGACATTTGAGCGTGAAGCAGGAAGGTGCGTGGAATGGTGGTATAACAACAAGCTTTGTGACCTCCCTTGTTATAGGGGCAATATTACAGGATAAGGAGTTTGCCTATCTTTTCTGTTGGTGGTGGCTGGATTGTTTTGCTTGCATCCTGCCACAAAAGAATTTGGATATTTTGTTTCCAGAAGCACTTTTGTGGACTTTTTATCACTTTATTATTTTGAATATAAAAAGGACATTTCTGTGGGACTTTATTGCAAATATAGATCACACATGGTGTATTGTAGATTTAAAGGGACATTATATGTGTTTGATTTTTGTGAACACTGAGGATAGCTCTTTAGATATATGGTTTTATATTATTGTTAATATCTGTATGTAGGTATTTATGTTGGCAACTTTCCGTTTACATGTTATGTAGCCTCCCTAGTGGTCAGATTATGTCAGTATTTCTGTGCTCAAAATGGTACATTTTTTTGCATGGAAATATGTATTTTTTTTATTGTAGGCCTGTAATTTTTTGAAATATCTCACTGAAATCTGTTCGAACAAGAGTCTATTAAACATCCCAGGGTATGATAAAATTTGAAACATGAAATCATAAATTATAATTTAATAAATAATCATAAAATATAATAATATAATAATAATACATTTAATTAAATAATATAATCAAACCAAAAACACTGAAATTTGAAATATAGCACCAAGTTCGCGCATCACTGAGCAAAGTCGCAAAATTGTTTTCAGTGTCTGATGACGAATTTCCCCACGAATCCATTATCACTCAATTCTGCAAGTGGTTCTAATTTACTATCGCTGTTCTCTAGCTGGCCTAAACCGCTTTTGACCTAAAGGGACGCTTTTTGGACGCCATGGACATTTCTCAGTTTCCAGGCAGAAAGAACAGTAAAAATGCAGGCAGGGCACAGGACAAAGCACTCGGGACAAAATGTATGTGAAATGGTTTGATACAGTAACGTTTTACTATGTGATTTTAGTGTATTTAGTGAATGTCACTTTTTCACATTTTTAAATTTCCCGCCGTTCCGTCCCCCATACGTCCCGACGTTGCAGGGAACGGAACCCAGATGACAGATGCTGGCATCTGCCAGAGGACATTGCCGGGGGCACTGCAGGAGGAACATTGCGGGAGCGCAGGACAAGGTAAGAGAAGAACAGATCCCGGAGCAACGCTGTAAGGTATTCCCGAGTGTAGTTCGGGGTTACCGCTTGTGGTGCTGAAACTTTACCCCGAGCTACACTCGGGAATACCTCCAGGGAGGTTCATGCTGAGTTATGATTTATAACACAGTTTTACACATCAGTGTTTTTTTGTGTTTATTAGTGCAGAGTTTTTTCGTTTTTAATAAGTAAAGTATACAGAGAGAAAATAAAAAACAGTCAATAAGAGAAAAGGTGTAAATGTAGCTGAGTTCCAGCATCTCAGGGGAAATCATATTAAAGAGGAACTTCACTCATAACAACTTGATAAAAAATAAATGTTCTTTAGCTAAGAACATACATTCTACATTAATAATTTTGCTACCAAAATTAGTTTGTTTAAATAATGTAAACCAGCACTTTGGATGTGATCCCTTAATTTAACACAGCTGCTGTACCAAGTGCTATACTAATCTTATCAGCCCTTATATATACTCAGTCTATCCTTTATACAGCGCTATTGGTTTTTGTTTGAATATGTGCAATAAACACGCATATTCTCTACAATGCTCATATCCACAAATAAAAATGAAACATTCAATAAAGTGTCCTTTGTGTTTCAATAAAGTCTCTCTGTGCATATAAAGTGTCCAAGTGTTTTCAGTTATTCACAGTATAATGCACAATGCCTTCAAACTTATCAAAGTGTCCGTGCTAAAAAAAGTGATACATTTCCAACAATCAGTGCCATAGTGTTCCCGAAATCCTCCACCATAAACACAGAACACTCACCAGATTTATATGTCTTCTTATCACAGGTGAGTCATACACCACCATCAGCCTTCTTCTTCTTGGGCCAGCTGCACTCCTCACACAACATGTAAGGAGAGATGGAGGGAGACTACCATAGTGTGAAATCTTTAAAACCTTTTATTTATTAACCGCTTACATACAGGGTACTTTTACCCCCTTCCCTCCCAGGCCAATTTTCAGGTTTCAGGGCTCTCACACTTTGAATGACAATTGTGCGGTCATACAATACTGTAACCAAATAAAATTTTTATAATTTTGTTCACACAACTTGAGTTTTCTTTTGGTGGTATTTAATCACCACTGGGGTTTTTATTTTTTGCTAAATTAACAAAAAAAAGACAGAAAATTGTGAAAAAAATACAAGTTTTTCTTTGTTTCTGTTATAAATATTTGCAAATAAATAATTGTTCTTCATAAATTTAGGCCAAAATGTATTCTACTACATTTCTTTGGTGAAAATAACCCAAATCAGTATTTATTATTTAGTCTGTAGCAAAGTTATAGAGTTCACAAACTATGGGATATATCTGAAAATTGATCGATCCTGAAGTACTGACAGCCAATCTAATTTCATGAGGCCCACAAATGTCAGAACAGTACAGATATCCGCCAAATGACCCATTTTTGTAAAGTAGACAATCCAGCGTATTTCATAAGAGACATGGCGAGTTTTTTGAAGTTGTAATTTTTTGTCATAATTTTTTGGAAAATGAAGAAATTAAAAAAATAATTTTCACAATTTTTTTTTTTTTACATACTGTCACTAGTGCAGTACAGCATCATCATATAACTGTTGTGGCAGTGATCTGGGACACTGACTAATGACAGTACAAAAAAAAATTGATAATTTTTTTAAATTTTTTTTCAATTTTATTATTATTTTTTTAATTTTTTATTTATTTTTTTCTCTTTTTTTTAATGATTTTCTTTTCATATTACACTATGATCAAAGTAGTATAATGTTATCATAGTAACATTGTACTACTTTGGGGAAAGTGATCAGTATTTTTTTTTTTACACAATATGATTGCTTATATCAAAGAATTTCTTTGCTATAAGCAAGCATTTAACTGAATGAAATCAATTCATTCAGGTTTTTTTTTTGTGATTAGCTGTGATTGGCCACAGCTAATCACATGATGGGCTGTAATTGTCCCAGACTGTGCATGTGATCACTGTGACCAATCACAGCTAGTAACACAATTGTATACAATGGATGGCATGAAAGGAAGCCATCTATTGTTTACAACTGTCATGTGACCTGCTGTGATTGGTCACAGCAGGTCACATGGTACTGGCAATTGGCTGGTACACAGATCTGTCATCGGCCATGTCCAAGGGACAAGGTTGGTGATAGATCTCGCCACAGTGCGGTCCTGCAGGCACGCACAAGGCGCAATCCTGGAAGGATGTCATGTGACGCCCACCCGTATTGACAAAAGTCCCGCCCGGCCATCATTTTACTATTGGCCAGGCGGTAAGTGGTAAAAACCATTTCCACAATGCCCACTCACATTGTTAAGTGCATACCCCTTGCACCAGGATAAAAATGCATGTTACATCATAAGCATAGGGATAACAGGGATCTGGCTCTAGGCTCTCTCACCGCCACCTTCTCCTGTGTTAACTACTTTCGGTGTTGCTGTGTGGGATGATGTCCCTTCCTGCTATTCCCTGACCGTCAGGAGCATAAAGCTAGATCCATGTTATCCCTATGCTTATTATGTAACGTGTTTTTATCCTGGTGCAAGTGTATGCACCAGCAATGTGAATGGGCATTGTGGAAATTGTTTTTAATAAATAAAAGGTTTTAATTATTTCACACTATGGTAGTCTCCATCCATCTCTCCTTACATGCTGTGTGAGACATTTAAAAGGAAAGGGTTCAGCTGGCCCAAGAAGGAGAAGGCTGATGGTGGTTATCTATGATACTAAGTGCTGTATGACTCACCTGTGATAAGTAGTCATATAAATCTGGTGAGTGTTCTGTGTTTATGGTGGAGGATTTTGGGAACACTATGGCACTGATTGTTGGAAATGGAGCACTTTTTTGAGCACGGACACTTTATTAAGTTTAAAAGCATTGTGCATTATACTGTGAATAACTGAAAACACTTGGACACCTTATATGCACAGAGAGACTTTATTGAAGCACAAAGGACACTTTATTGAATCATGTTTAACTTTTATTTGTGGATATGAGAATTGTAGAGAATATGCTTGTTTATTGCACATGTTTAGACAAAAACCAATAGTGCTGTATAAAAGATAGGGCAAAATTAGTCTGTGCTGTAAATTGCCTCCAGCATTGTTCCTGTTTCTTCTTGCTGGAAGCTGCCATTTTGCTGAAGACCAGAACCCTGAGCAGCAGTAAATCTTTAGGCTGTCAGCAAATTGGCCTCTACATTTTCTGCACAGTGCTGAAAAATAGAGAGCAACTGTGAAGAGCAGGGTGAGGTAGTGTATTACTGGATTTTAAACAGTATAGGCACTTATTTATATTGTTTTAAATAGCTATACCTGCAAAATGAGCCAGCCTGAAGTACTCTAGGACTTAATTTTCTGATGAAAGTTACACTTTAAATATAACCCACTGATGAGTTTCTAAAAGAGATAATACAGTGTAAGCACACAGTATCCTATTTAAGTATAAATTTTAGTAATTGTGTTGACAAATGTTATATACATTTAAATCCCTCCTTCAGACTAAATTTCACATGACGTCCCCCTAGAACGCGCCCTCCCGCGTGCCTCCGGCAATTTCCGTGATCACTGTGTCCTACGGACACAGCTGATCACATGATGTGGTAAAAGGCCAATCACAGCAGCCTTTTACCATGTGATCAGCTGTGTCCAATGATAACCGCTGCCCCGATAACCGGCAATTGTCAGAAAACAGATCGGCACTGATCATCAGGACACTGATGATCAATGCCCAGCAGTGCCACCCACCTGTGCCCAGCAGTGCCACCCACAAGTGCCAAGCAGTGCCACCCACCTGTGCCCATCAGTTCCCAGCAGTGCCACCCATCTGTGCCCATCAGTGCCTAGCAGTGCCATTCACCTGTGCCCATCAGTGCCACCCATCAGTGCCGCCAATGAGTGCCCAGCAGTGCCGCCAGTCAGTGCCGCCCATCAGTGCTGCCCATCAGTGCCCATCATTGCTGCATATCAGTGCAGCATCATCAGTGCCGCCTATCAGTGCCCATCAATACTGCCTATCAGTGCAGCCTTATCAATGCACATTAGTGAAGGAGAAAAATTACCTGTTTGCAAAATTTTATAATAGAAACAAAGAAAAACTTTTTTTTCACATTTTTGGCTCCTTTTTTGTTTATAGTGCAAAAAATAAAACACCCAGTTGCGATTAAATACCACCAAAAGAAAGCTCTATTTGTGTGAAAAAATTATAAAAATGTCATATGGGTACAGTGTTGCATGACCGCGCAATTGTCATTCAAAGTGTGATAACACTGTAAGCTGAAAATTGGCCTGGACTGGAAGGGGGTATAAGGGCCCAGTAGGCAAGTGGTTAATCTATTCTCAAGAGAGAATAAATTCAGTTCCTCTAATCTTTCCTCATCAGCAGCAAAATCCTCTCTTGTATTACAAGAGGTATAGACTCCAGAGAGAGAGATATCATTTCCCCCGTACAAATCATTAGTAAAACCTCATCTGGAATATGCAGTTCAGTTTTGGGCACCAATTCACAAAAAAAACATTGGGGAACTGGAGAAAGTAAAGAGAAGAGCAACTAAACTGATAAGAAGCATGGAGGAGCTCAGCTATGAGGAAAGATTAGAGGAACTATAGTAACCTCTTAATGTTCGATATGAGACTAGCAACAAAAAAAAAACAAGTATAATTTTTCTGATTATCTGATTGTGTGTACTAGCATAAAACTAATATCTAAGGTTGATCTTTTAATCCTTTCATCCCCCACCTGCACTAAATTAATTGACCCCACCCACTCTAGATAAGGATCTAGATAAAATCCACAAAAGAAATGGCCCAAATACTTACCTGATTCTGCAGACATGCTGAAAAGTTACATGGAGCTCCTTGGCTAAAGAGATGGGTCATTGATCTCCACTTACAGATGAGGTACTGAGGAGAGTCTTGTGGCAGTAGATTCAGGGGAGTGAAAAGGGTTGTTAGAGACTTTTATTTGCTTGTGTGTGGGATCAGGGTGAATGGGAGGTTCTGACATTTTCCAAAAAATGGGCTTAAAGTGGCAACCAAAGAAAACAGGACAACATACTCAGTGGAAATATTTGGCCAAAGGTTTACAAAAATGTGTATTGAAAAGAATGTGTAAAAGGAACAATACATGACAGAGCCTACTGGAGATGATACAAGGATCCAATCTTAGTATCTCCAATAAACATCAGGTGGGTTTGGGAATACCGAGGGTCAAAGGTAATGCGTGATAATCAAATAATGTATATAAACCCCACCAAACCACTAAAATAATATGTAAACAGAACATTTCATATTCCTAATATGTGCCTGTTGTACCATGTACTTGTATGAAAAAGTATTCTGCTCTCCTTGTATTGCTTCCTTTGCCAAGTCCCTGGTGTTCCTGCCAGTCCCTCTGCTTTCCTATTAATAACTGACCACACTAGACCTGAGCACACACTGTGGTCAGTTCTCTACCTGTGCTGGGAACTCAATCTGCTTTCCTCCATTGATCAGACCAGTGCTGCAGTTTCTCCTCCCCTAGGTCTCTGAGCAACTTATGCTACTGAGAACAGAGGTCATGTGATCACTTATAAAAATAGATTAAAAATAGGTATTTCTAATATTTTTTATATGTATACACAAATGTTTTGTCTTTCATCTCTATTCTTAACTGAATGGGTTGTTTTACAAGGGGAAGTTCACATATTCTTTAACCACCTTCCGCCCGCCCTATAGTACAACGACGGGCGCAAGGTGGTTCCCTCGTTCTGATAGGATGTCATATGACATCCTACCATTCTCACTGCGCATGCACGGCTCAAGGAGCGCGCAGCGCGGCGATCGCCGGTGCGCTGTGTCCCTCGGACACAGCGGATCACGGAAAGAGCCAAAGATGTCGGCCCGGTCATGTGATCAGCTGTGTCCAATCACAGCTGATCACATGTAAACACGGAAATGCCGGTTATCGGCATTTCTCTCCTCTCGAGCTGTCACGCTGACAGCTCGAGAGGAGAGGAGAACCGGTAATCGGCTTTCCGCGGAGGGGACAGGTACACTGATCATCAGGGCACTGATGATCAGTGTGCCCTGATGATCAGTGTGGCCCCAGAAGTGCCACCTGTCAGTGCTCATCAGTGCCACGTGCCAGTGCCCATCAGTGCCATGTGCCAGTGCCCATCAGTGCCACATTAATGCCACATATCAGTGCATACCAGTGTACATCAATGCCACATATCAGTGCCCATCTGACCTGCCTTTCAATGTCACCCATCAGTGCCAGTCAGTGCCACCTATCAATGCCAATCAGTGCCACCTATCAGTGCTGCCAATCAGTGCCACCTATCAGTGCCAGTCAGTGTCGCCTATCAGTGCCAGTCAGTCAGTGCCGCCAGTCAGTGCCACCTAACAGTTCCAGTCAGTGCCGCCTATCAGTGCCAGTCAGTGCTGCCGATCAGTGCCGCCTATCAGTGCCATATATCAGTGTCATGTATCAGTGTCATGTATCAGTGCTGCCTTTCAGTACCCATCAGTCATGCCTGTCAATGCAACCTACCAGTGCCTCCTCATAAGTGCCCATCAGTGCCACCTATCAGTGTCCATCAGTGCAGCCTCATTAGCGCACATCAGTGAAGGAGAAATATCACTTATTTACAAAATTGTATAACAAAAACTAAGAAAAAAATTTTTTTTCTTCAGAATTTTCAGTGGTTTTTGGTTTGCTTAAGAAAAAATAAAAAATCCCAGAGGTGATTAAATACCACCAAAAGAAAGCTCTATCTGTCTCAAAAAAATGATAAAAATTTCATATGGGTACAACGTTGCATGACTGCGCAATTGTCATTCAAAGTGTGACATCGCTGAAAGCTGGAAATTGGCCTGGGCAGGAAGGCGGTATAAGTGCCCTGTAGGCTGGTGGTTAAAGCAGAGCAAAATATCAACCAAGCAAGTGTGGTTTGGCAAAAATCAATGCCAAGAATCAATATTTATATTTTCTCAAATTATTCAATAATGATTCATAAATAGTATTGTTCTCTGTAGGCTGGACAACTCTGAATGCATGTACTGAGAAGTACTATTTGCAGTTTGCCCATCCTGCAATGAGAATGGTTTCTAAACTTGTTCATTCATCAACGCCTTATATACAAATAAAACAACCTCTAATTACAACTATTATGCTTATAGCTTGATGCCCACCCACAACGGAATACATAAAAGTTGTTAGCAAACAAGTGTACCTTTCCTGCACACAAACTGGAATTGATTTCAAGACTGGTTTGATGCTTATCAATTTTCTGTTTCACTGATTTATTGTCTAGCCTACCATACTTTTCATGAATCATTATGGAATTGTTTAGGATTGCAGAAACGGGTGAAAACTATGTGAATTTAACAAAGTAGTTAGATGTAGATGTTAGATGTGGTTAGATGGTAGCAGGGGTTTTATGACGTCAGTGGGCCTGTGTGCAGGATCATAAGTTGGGCCCCATTGCTTGATACAAAGAAAAATGCGGTGTGCTTAGTGCGAGTGAGACATGGATTTCAATGTGCCAGGAGTGTTGCTAGGATTGTTAAAGACTTGGGGTTGGCTGTAGAAAATAGTGGGCATGGCCAACTTGTGTTAACAGTGGGAGGGGCTTAAGGGGCACGGTTAAATAAAACAAGGTCAGTCTGTCCCCCAGTATAATCCCATCAGGTCAGTATGTCCCCTGGTATAAGCCTTCCCACCAGGTCATTCTGTTCCTCAGTACTTTATAAATACACTAAATAAGTAACCATCATCTCACCAGGATATGGGAAATGTTTTTATAGTATACAGTATGTACTAAAGCTGGCCATACACTAGTCAAATTCATTTGAAATATTGCTTTTGTTTTAATCAATAGTGGGGGTCTAATCGGCACTACTAGTGTATGGCAAACTTAGAGTGATTGTAAACCATCACCTAAACCAAATCCATTCAGTTTAAAATAGAAATAAAAGGCATAACATTTGTGTATAGATATAAAAACATTATAAATACCTTTTTCCTCCTGTTTTATAAGTGATCACATTCCCTCTCAGCTGCAAAAGAGATGGGGAAGGAGAAACAGCATGACACTGATCTTCCCAGTTAAGACTGTGAAGTGGGGGTGTCAGGACAAGTATGATCATTGAAGGAGAGCACACTGAGTTCCCAGCACAGCTAGAGAACTGACCACGATGTGTTATCCTGCTTAGTGTGGGCAGTTATTAATAGGAAAGTAGAGGGACTGGCAAGAACACCATGGATTTCAAACAAAGGAAACAATACAAAGAGAATAGGATACTATATTGCCAAAAGTATTGGGATGACTGCCTTTACAAGCCCATGAACTTTAATGGCTTCCCAGTCTTAGTCCGTAGGGTTCAATATTGAGTTGGCCCACTCTTTGAAGATTTAACAGCTTCAACTCTTCTGGGAAGGTGGTCCACAAGGTCTAGGAGTGTGTCTATGGGAAGGTTTGACCATTCTTCCAGAAGCGCATTTGTGAGGACAGGCGCTGATGTCGGACGAGAAGGCCTGGCTCGCAGTCTCCGCTCTAATTCATCCCAAAGGTGTTCTATCGGGTTAAGGTCAGGACTGTGCAGGCCAGTAAAGTTCTTCCACCCCAAACTTGCTCATCCATGTCTTTATGGACCTTGCTTTGTACACTGGTGCGCAGTCATGTTGGAACAGGAAGGGGCCATCACCAAACTCTTCCCACAAAGTAAGGAGCATGATTCGGTTTGATATCTTCCAGAAGCGCATGTCCAAAATGTCTTGGTATGCTGATGCCTTAAGAGTTCCCTTCACTGGCAAAGCCCAACCCCTGAAAAAAAAAAAAACCCCACACCATGATCCCCCATCCACCAAACTTTACACTTGGCACAATGCAGCAAGTACCATTTTCCTGGCAAGCGCCAAACCCAGACATGTCCATCAGATTGCCAGACAGAAAAGTGTGATTTTTCACTCCACAGTACACATCTCCACCTCTCTAGAGTCCAGTGGATGCGTAATTTACACCACTGCATCCGACAATTTGCATTGCACTTGGTGATATGAGGCTCGGGTGCACCTGCTCGCCCATGGAAACCCATTCCATGAAAAGCTCTTTACGCACTGTTGTGCTAATCTGAAGGCCACATGAAGTTTGGAGGTCTTTAGCTCGTATATCGTACGGACCTGACAGTGAGGAGTTTTAAACACAATCCGATGGCTGCACCACCAGATGACGAGAAGAGACAAGCAGGGTCTTGTAAACCCTGCATGTCTCTTTAAAGAGAAAGTCACCTAAAAATCATTATATAGGAGACTTTGTTTCCCTATGTAATGGGAAAAAAACTGTTCAGTAAATACATTTTTTTTTGCAAAATAATAAAGTTACACTCAAGCACATAATATCCCACCAAAAAAGTTTTTAGGCCCCCACATACAAACATAAAAGCATACGTCAGGGTGCCTATGCATGAAAATGTCAATTGCGATACACATTTTACATATCGCCGCGCACACCGGAGTGAGAGCAATAATTCTAGTACAAGACCTCCTCTGTAATGCTAAACCAATGACCTATAGGGTCTTTGAAACGTCACCTATAGAAAATATAGGGGACTAAAGTTTCTTGGCATTTCATAGGTGCACACAAATTTAGGGTTTGGCTTGTCCGTTTACTTGGCACAAACTCATATTTTATATTTTACCTAAAATTTTGTCGTTTATTGCATGTGTTTGCCCTAAAATTCACTTTTGTGTGTTTTTTTTTACTGAAATGTTGCGTTTGCTAGACCTTTGCAGTAATATCATGTGACATAAAAAATTGGAATACTGCAATTTTATTCTCTAAGGTGTCTGCTTTCAGAAAATATATAATGTCTGAGGGTTTTGTGTAAACTTTAGGCCTAAAATTATATTTTAAACGTGTGAAAAAAAATGCTAAAAACAGCTGTCAGCGAAAGGGTTCAAGGTCAAAAATTGTGTTTGTGTTTTTATTTAATTGAATTAAATTTTTTTTCTTTGTGAATAATCATTCACAAAGGGGTCATGATCTGAGGACCCCCTTGTTATGGATTTTTTTTTTTGGGGGGGCACTAAGCATTTTGTTATTGTTTTTTTGGTAAAGGTTCCGATGACAGGGATGATTGAGTGTTGTTAGGAAGCCGGCGGGTGCTAGCTCCTTAACTACCTATGACTCATCCTTGCTGCTGACAGGGCTACTAAAAATCAACAAAAATTGCAGGCAAAAATGCAATCCAGTGTGTTTTGCCACAAAGTTTGATGCAGAAAAAATAAAGCATGTTCTACTCGTGCTGCCTGCATCAGAACACACTGAGCTGATGTTAACCTGGGCTATTGGAATACATGAAAAACACTGCATGCATTTTTGATGCAGATTAAAAATGCACTGGAGTGCATTTGGTTTGAACTGGGCCTAAACTTTCTTACCTGCCTATCCGCACTGTACACAGAGCTGTGCGCATGCAACCCAGTGCACAATTTTAGCAATGGACAGAAGTAAAAGCTGGTGCTAGTGTAGATCAGCTAAAACATGCAGTTTTTTATTGATAACGGTGAGGAAAAGCCATAAAAAGCCTATGTGTTTTGGCCCTCAGACCCTGATTAAGGACCAAAACGCGTTGGGTCTTTATGGCTTTTTGTGCCCATTATTAATAAGGAACTGCATGTTTTAGCTGATCTACACTGGCATCAACCTTTACTTATGTTCATTGGAGATTGGAAGTTTTCAGAGACAGTTGAGGCTGAGAGTCATGTTACACACGCTGAGAATGACTCACAGGAGATAGTAGCTCCTCACACACTTGTTACTACAATTCCAGGAATAATGAACTCCCGCACATGTGTAGGAGTGATGTCAACTCAGTCTGGCCAATGAAAATGGCTAATGATCCATACCTGGAAGAAGACCAGTTGAAGATGCCAGTGGCCAGCAGGGAGCTCTGGGACACTGCAGTGCTGGAATGATGGTGAGCATAGTTCTGCTTCAGGACCTTCTATTGACATCTACAAGTTACCAAGCCTATGCTTTATGATGTAGTGGTTAAAATTGCCTAAAGTTAGCCATACCACCAGATTTTCAAATTAATGTTGGTATGAACATGCATTCGAAAATTTGTATGGAAATTGTCAGCACATTTGACAACTTGACAAATTTTTGTTTGCTTTTAACATTTGATTTTGGAGTTAATAGATTTCCACAAATGCAAACCAATTGCGTTTTACAAACTAGTTCATTCAAAAAGTAACCTAGCCATACACTAGTAGAATTTCCATATATAATTTTTCATTTTAACAACATTCGTTCATTTGTTTCCATCCTGCTTTTTCTAAATTTCTCTTCACTGTGGTGAAAAACAAATGTCAATTTGACCCCACTAATGACTGGAAAATGTTAAGAACATTCTTAAAATTAATTCTTTTTTAACTAAATTCTATTGGTATATGACCATCACAAGACCAAAATCACACTGCTCTGTGTAAGATGCAGTGAGTATGGTAGGGTACATATCTAGGTGTGAATGGCCATGATTACAGAGCTGCATTCATTTGTTTCCTTTATATCT